AATATGGGAAGTGCCAAGTCCCCCATTTAAAGTCCGCCAATTATTCCCTAAATATTCACATTAATGTCAAAGTACTTCATGTAATATTTAAAGATGCTACATCTAATAGTTACTCACATATAAGAATTTTTCTATTAAATTAATGTGGGGGTTTCAAGCCCCCAAGATAAAAGCCCGCCCTTTTTTCTCCAAAATGTTTAGATGAATGTTAAAGTAATTTGTGCAAAATTTGAAGAATCTAGTTCTATTAGTTTCCCATATAAACGAAATTTTGTATTTAATTAATATGGGAGGTACCAAGTCCACCATTGAAAGTCCGCCCGTTATACTCTAATTGTTCAGATGTATGTCAAAGTTCTTCAAGTAAAATTTTAAGATTCTAGCTCTAATAGTTTCTCAGATATACGAATTTTTCTATTTAATTCATATGGGGGCTCCAAGCCCCCCCATATGGAAGTCCGATCTTTTTCATCTAAAATGTTCAGACGAATATTTAAGTTCTTAGTGCAAAAGTTGAAGAATTTAGTTCTATTAGTTTCCCAGATAAACGAATTTTTGCATTTAATTAATATGGGAGGTGCCGCTCCCCTCATGGGTAGTCCGCCAATTTATTTCCCAAAATGTTAACATGGACGTAAAAGTTATTTGTGCAAAATTTTAAAATTATATGGGAGGCGCCACGCCCCCTAATGCTAGTCCGCCTACTTTTTGTCCTAAATAATCATATTGACACTAAAGTGGTTCCGACAAAATCTGAGGACTCTAACTGTTATATTATCTCAAATATACGGATTTAATATTTTCTAATATGGGCGTGGCACCTCGCCCACTTGAAATTTCAAAATAAAAAGTAGCATATTACCTATTCCAGACATACAAGAAAATCGGTTCAGCAGTTTTGTAGTCTATAACTTTCAAACATACAAACAAACACACATTCATTTTTTATACCCTCCACCACCATCAGTGGTGATAGAGGGTATATATAAGTTTGTCGTTCCGTGTGTAACACCAAGAAATATTCATCTAAGACCCAACAAAGTATATATATTCTGGGTCCTTATGAAATTCTGAGTCGATTTAGCTATGTCCGTCTGTCCGTCTGTCCGTCTGTCTGTCTGTCTGTCTGTGTAAAACACGCTCACGTTAAAACTAAGTAATGGAAATCAACCAAATTCACCCAAAATATTTATTATTATCCTAAGCAGTTTGGTATTGAAAATCAGCAAAATCGGTTCACAACATAAAAAGTTATGAGTAAAAATTTCAGACTACCTCGAAAAAAATTACGTTTTTTTCATAATTCTTTTGAAGTTTTCTCAGAAACTACCAAAGATATTTCGATGAATTTTGTCATACATTATTTTTTCAGCGTAGTGATCAATTATATTCAAAATCTTTACAATCGATCTAATATTTCCTATAGCCCCCATACAAAGGTACATATTCCCGGAAATTAGTTTATCGTTAATAACTCAATCAAATATATCGGTATCAACACCAAATTTTGTACATATAAATATAATATGAACAGAAATCATACTGACAACGTAAATCTCAGTCGGTCCACAATTGGTCATAGCTCCCATATAAGGTCCACTTCCGAAAATCACTTAAACGCACATATTTCATTGATGAATAAAGCTATTGTGATAAAATTCGGGCTGGTTATGTTTTGTGTACATACCAATCATTCTACCAAATTTTTTGCGGATCGGTCCATTATTGGTCATAGCTCCCATATAAGGCCCACTTCCGAAAATCATTTAAAAGCTCATATTTCATTGTCAAATTAAGTTATCGTAATAAAATTCGACACAAATATGTTTAGTCTAAATATAAATCACTCTATGAAATTTTTTCCGGATAGGCCCATAATTGGTCATAGCTCCCATATAAGGGCGACATCCGAAAATCACTTAAACGCATATATTTCATTGAATTCTAAAGCTATCGGGATAAAATTCGACACAAATCTGTTTTGTATACATACAAATCTTTCTACAAAATTTTTTACGAATCGGTCCATTCTTGGTCATAGATCCCATATAAGGCCCACTTCCGAAAATCACTTAAAAGCACATATTTCAATGTCGAGTAAAGCTATCTTGATAAAATTCGACACAAATATGTTTTGCCTAAACCTGAATCACTCTACGAAATTTTTTCTGGATAGGCCCATAATTGGTCATAGCTCCCATATAAGGTCCACTTCCGAAAATCACTTAAACGCATATATTTCATTGAATTCTAAAGCTATCGGAATAAAATTCGACTTTAATATATTTTGTGTACGTACAAATCATTTTACAAAATAATTTTTTACGGATCGGTCCATTATTGGTCATAACTCCTATATAAGGCTCACTTACGAAAATCACTTAAAAGCACATATTTCATTATCAAATAAAGCCATCTTGATAAAATTCGACACAAACATGTTTTGCCCAAATATAAATCACTCTGCGAAATTTTTCCCGAATAGGCCCATAATTGGTCATAGTTCCCATATAAGGTCCACTTCCGAAAATCACTAACACGCATATATTTCATTGAATTCTTAAGCTATAGGAATAAAATTCGACTTGAATAAGTTTTGTGTACATACAAATCATTTTACCACTTTTTTCTCGGATCGGTCCATTATTGATCATAGCTCCCATATAAGGTCCACTTCTGAGAATCACTTAAACGCACATATTTCATTGTCAAATAAAGTTATCTTGAGAAAATTCGACACTTATATGTTTTGTCTTTACATAAATCACTCTACGAAATATTATCCGGATAGGCCCTTAATTGCTCATAGCTCCTATATAAAGTCCACTTCCTAAAATCACCTAAATGCACCTATTGTAGTAAAATTATACTTTATCTTTTTCTGCATTATGCGAAATAGTTTCCTGATCGGTGCATAATTGGTCACAACTCCCATATAAGGACCATTTCTGAAAATTACTTGAACGCACATTTTATACATAGGTATACAATTTTTTCTGGATCGGTCCATATTTGGTCACAACTCCCATATAAGGGCCATTTCTGAAAATTACTTAAACGCACATTTTATACACATTTAGGTATAAAATATGTGTATTTTGTATATAAATCATTATACGGAATTTTTTCCGGACCGGTCCATAAGTTGTCTTAGCTCCCATATAAGGTTAACTGTTGAAAATCACTTAATACCACTTAATTCGTTATAAAATGATTATCTCCGGATAAAATTCGACATAAGTATATGTATAGATAAATCATTCTAAATTTTTCTGAACCTAATCAAAATTAGTTCGACAAAAATTTTGGCGACTTATCTAAAAATTAGATAGTTAGATGGGTTTCAATAAAAAGTAGCTTGCTGGTGGAGGGTATTTAAGATTCGGCATAGCCGAATATAGCACTCTAACTTGTTATATATATAAATATGTATGTATTAGTTAGGTAATATCCCAATTGGCAAAATGATCATAGACGACATTGTCGGTGACGATTCGTGAACGAAATTTTTGAATTTGTCCCCAATCGCTGAAGTTGGCTAAACGACAATGTGTAAGAATTCTTCGTTAACGACAAGATTAGTGACATAGACCTTAAGGTTGTCATCTTTAAAACCCTATTAAAGACAAGTTGAGCGATAACATCTTAAATATTGTCTTCTGTCGGACGCATATGATGAGAAGATAAGCGGCTGTGTCCTGAATGTTGTCATATATCTAATTTTGTTGACGATTATATGAATGATTGATTCTTAAACGTTGTCGGCAATAATTTTACATTCAGACAATGTAAACGACAATGACTTCAATGTCGTTATGTAATTCACTTACTCCCACAAAACTCTATTTAAATTGAGTCAAAATATCATTTTTCCAATTTTGGTAAGTAATATAAACTACTTTTCAAGGCGTGAAAAATTTATTTCATTTATTTATTTAAATTATTTTAGTTAAAGTGGATAAATCGTCTAAATAACATTTTAAAATACGTAAATTTTAAACAGGGTCTACAAGGAGATGGGACGTACCAACATCGATGTAGGATCTAAAGATAATATTTCTAGCTTTGTCATCCATGTAATCGTTGACGACAAAGTAAACGATATTGTCGTCCATAGAATCGTTGACGACCAAATAGACGATATTGTCGTCCTAAAATCAGTGATAATAAAGTAGACGACATTCTCGTCAATATAATCATTGACGATATTGTCGCCTATATATTCGTTAACGACAAAGCTGGGGACATTGTCACCAATGTAATCGTTGATGATCAAGCGGTGGATTTAATCCTCTGTAATGTCGTCAGTGAACATTGTTATTGCATGAACGACAAACTGAGCGACATTGTCTCTCATTGAAGCGTCCACGATTTTCGCGAGACTTGTTCGAAAATGTCTTTGACGATTTGTTCCAGCTGTTCTACATTTGTCTTCCAGGACTTTACATTGTCGTGTAACCATCGTTGATGGGATGTCTTTAAGACATCCTTAAAGACATGCCCAACAGGGATACTTCGTCTATTATGCGACCAACGAATAATTATGAGAAAGTATAACTACGGCTGCAATCCGAAGAATAAGTTCTTCTGCTCAAATCATCTAACTATTACATGTAGGTTAATACTAGGTAATCAATAAATACTGAAAATATTAATTCTGAAAATTCTGGGTTGACGTTTGTAACTGCACGTACAAATTTTGTCTTCTGAAAAGTTAAATAAACGAATCATATTTTTTTGTATATTATTCAATTAAAATGTTAATAAAACAGGCTTATTTTCGTTTAAATTATTCAGAGCAAATGACCAGTTTTAATTAGTGTTTTTTTTTTTTTTTTTTGTCAAACAAGGGGCACGTGTTTGTAAAAAAAAGGTTCATAGTAGAGAGTGTATAAGCACTTTTACTGCTTTTTGTACAATAACATAGAAATACAATAGAAATATAGATAGACATCAGCAACAAACCTCGATTAGAGTTTCAAAACAAATTACTATTAAAG